ATGATGAGGGGGGGGGGTTTGGAAAATGTGAGTGATGGCCAGAAAATTAGATAAAACCAAATGCTTAATTTTCTTGCTGACCTGCAATTATTTTCTTTTATGCTACCAAACTGATCAAACATTTAGAAAACATCTTTAAGAAAACGATTTATCAAATCTCAATCTGTTCATAATCTATCTATCTATCTATCTATCTATCTATCTATCTATCTATCTATCTATCTCAACCTGTTCATTATCTATCTATCTATCTCAATCTGTTCATTATCTATCTATCTATCTCAATCTGTTCATTATCTATCTATCTATCTATCTCAACCTGTTCATATCTATCTATCTATCTATCCCCATTGACTCTCTGTCTCAGTCTGTTCACTTTCTTTCTCTCTCAATCTTACTCTGTTCACAATCCATCTGAAACTATAATGGGTTGACACAGATAAGGAATAGACTTCTTTATAATCTTTCATATTCTATTCATTATCTATCAATCAATCTATCTCTCTCATTCTCTTTCTCTCTATATCACTATCTATTTGTCTATCTCTGTTTCTTCTCTCTCTCTCTCTCTCTCTCTGTTCAATACTTATCTCTCTATTTATCTATATCTAAGCCTTCTTAAGTCTATCTCTAATCATTCTCTTTCTATCTATCTCTATTTCAGTTTGTTTATTCTCTCTTGATCTCAGGCTGTTCATCCTCTTTTTTATCGCTCTCTCTTCATTCTCTCTCTCTCTCACTCTCTGTTCATTTGTTTTATTTCTCTTCCAAAATCTCTTAATTCTCTTTCTCACATGATGTTCATTCTCTCTCTGATCATTCTCTTTCACTCTCTGTCATTGTTCATTCTTGCTCTCTCATTCTTTTTTCCTTCTTTTTCTTTCTCCCAATCTCTTTATTCTCACTCTCTTTGTTTATTTTCTCTCACTCTCTCTTTCTCTCTCATTCTGTTCATTCTTTCTTTCTCTCACACACACTGTTCATACTCTCTCTCTTTCTCATGCATAGACTCAATTTAATTCTTTCTTTATATATGGACGATATGATATATATAAATCTATATATCAGTCTAATAGTAGTAATTGAATTGTAAAAGGAAAAAATGACATGTTTTGAACCTATTATTCATGAACTTATGACACTTGTAAATAAACAAATGTAAATATGCTTATTTGTTAGTGTCAACAAATGAATCTACATCTGTATATATATATATATATATATATATATATATAGTTATGCATAAATAGATATGTTTATTCATGAGTGACAACTTGTCTCTTTATTTAAGAATTTCAGTCTTCTCATATCTATGATATCTATCTCTTAATCTCTATATATAATTTTCTGATACTATGATTGTATCTATTTCAGTCAGTTTATATATCTATCCCTCCAAATCTATTAATATCTATGTATCTATACCATTCTGTTCATATCTGTCTATGTATCTATACCATTCTGTTCATGTCAATCTCTCCATCCCAATCTGTTCATGTCAATCTCTCCATCCCAATCTGTTCATATCAATCTATCCATCCCAATCTGTTCATATCAATCTATCCATCTCATTCTGTTCATATCTATCTATCTATATTTGTAATTATTTTTCTTTCTTACTTATATGCTCCCATCATAAGCCAGAAGCCATGTCCAAATTGTTTTGGGAGGCTATTTTATCATACTCACTTAAACACACTTAACACCTTTTCTTATTTGAAGCTGTCAGATCATATGAATGTCTCAGTAACTGAATGAACTTAATTGACTTGCAACATATCAACATACACATTTACCCACATATGATTAGACTCAGTTAAGGTTGACTATGGATGCAACAGCCTCTTACTGCCTGGCCAGGTAAGGTTGTTTTGAGAATACGATTTTGCTTGAGTTTTCAATCATCCATTATTTTTCCTGTCAATCATTCTAACAAGTTAACAACAATATACTATCACATGATACATCACAATGAAACAGTAGCTAGGGAGAAATAAATTCATGCCTTTCGTGAGGGTATTAATGTGTAGTGATTATAAATAGCTTAACCCGAAATTTAAACCCAGTTCACCAATTCTGTTTCAATACATATAAGTTTTGCTTTCACCTTCACCAATCATGAAAGTTTATATTACAATGAAGAACAGAAGTGATATAATAATCTTCTAATATCAAAAAACATTAGAAAATAATTTCTCAAGCATATAATATTAATGTTAAAAAGAAATATTGTGAAGATGCAAGATTTCTTTTTCGTTTATATACATTTGCCCTTCAAGGTATGAATGAACCTGACTCTGCAAAACTTCCTATCCTTCAACCTTCACAGCGAAGACCAATCAGGTTCATGTCTAAAGTTAACTATTATCTTCCCCATATATCTTCATAAGCTGTGTCCCTTATCTCTACCCCTGTAACCTTTGACCTTGAGTGGCTGTTGGGTCTTGTAAAGAATGAACATTACTGTAAAATAGAAAAAAGCTCTAAGCAATGTTTCTTGTACGCAAGTGCCTTAGGTAGTATAAGAGATGAGGAAATTGGACAGAGAATAAGCAACACTAGAAGCTGTTTTGCCCAACAATGCCAATTTCTACAAAAACAGAACATTAAACTGAAAACTTGAGTCATGTTCTTAAATAGCCTCATCAGATCCAAACTTTTATATGGATGTCAAGAATGGCATGAAACCTGCTCAGAAATATCTAAACTGTCAACTTTATGCAATGTCTTTCTGAGATAAATGGTTAAAAATTGCTTTGAGTGAGTGAAGCCTAAGGGTCTTTCTGAAGACCATCCTCCTTTGAACTTTGTGGACTGGAACTTGAGAATCCCAAAGAACGAAACATTTCTTCCCCAAGCTATGGGTTAATTAGTGGGACTGCTATCAGTAAATCATTATCATTTCCAAATAATTCTTACAATCTAAAAATATTTTCTGGCTTTAAATAACCTGCAAATATTGATAAGCCATAAAAAATGTGTGTGTATATTTTACTCTCCCATCAAATTTGACGTATGAGGGTCAAGCAGATCAGTTCCTAGGGAACCGACAGCCGGATAACAGCACATGACATTTGATTATAATGGTGAAAGTTTCATGCTGGTCCTCCACACTTTTTGAAGGGCTGAATACAGAGATCTGGTGCACTACATGCCACAGGGTCCCCAGTTGCCATCCAAGGTTATAGAACCCAGTCTGTCCTGCTATTTACCCATAGCTAGAGGGAGAAGATTCACACCTTTCCCAAGGGTATTAGCACGTAAGTGAATGTAATGGATTCAACTGGAATTTAAACTCGGCTCACTGATTCCTCAATCCAATCCTCTATCCATTACTCCACCATGCCTCCTCTGTCTGTCTGTGTGTGTGTGTGTGTGTGTGTGTGTGTGTGTGTGTGTGTGTGTATGTATATATATATATATATATATATATATATATATATATATTTTATGGCACGTGGCCAAGTGGTTAGAAAGTTTGCTTCCTGATCATGAGACCCAGGTTCAAATCTCACCATGGTTGATTTGTCAGGAAGGAGACTTCCCAATGATAGAATGGATTGTGGTTAATCCCTGCATGTGGCACCTTTGGAAACTCTTGAGGGCCGTCGACAGCTTTGCTAGCACAAAGCCACAAATCATCATGGCCGAGGGCTTGAGCGTGCTGGTCTTGTTCAAATTGTTGATCATGCTCTCTGTAATTAAGGTCTCCTTAGCATAGTTGCAGTATAAATCATAGGTGGTCTCTGTGGGTGTTGTGCAAGCACAAATGTGCCTGAACGAGCATCTACAATAGGGATTGGATAGCCACCCTGGTAGATGGGTATCCTCGAATATGAGGTGCCATATATATATATATATATATATATATATATATATATATATATATATATACAGATTAGAATTGAGTAGAAAGATAGACCAAGTAACAAATAGGAAATATAAAGTTAACATGTTTTGCTTTTATTTAAAGGTTATTCAAAGCCAGAAAATATATTAAGATTGTCCTGCTAATTAACCCATAGCTGGAGAAGTGATTCATACCTTTTCCAAGAGTATTTGCACATATGTGAATATAACGAACCCAACAGGAAAGGAAACTCAGCTCTCCAATTAACAATTCCAAAGCCGTTATTCACTACACCGTGCACACAACCAAGCTCACATAATTTGGCATTCCCTAATTGTCACCCATTTGAATACTGAGCAGGCTCAGTGTTACTTAACATCAGTGATCTTGTGAGAACTGGTGTTTCAAAATGGTATGGTCGACAGCCAGGACTGGTGTATACCATCCCTGAACTCGTGATTGTGGGCCCCAGGCAGTGCTTTGAAACATTCATTATCTTATCAACAATTGCTTTTTTTCTACCTATATTTATATATGTTCCAAATTAAACTAAACACAACTGATTATTAAAGGACGAAAATTTTTTGTGGATTTTGACGTCATCATGGTGTCTTTTTTTTTTCTCATCCAAATCCTTGATTTTGTTTTGCTCATGCTAAGACTGAGAAAAAACACCATACAAAATTCACTATTTTCTAACCATGCTGTTGAATGTGTTTAAATTATTCAACTTTTTAACAAGAAAAATCTCAAGCTGATGTAAAATTTGCCGCCAAACATTGTTGATTTATTTAAGATGGAATGATCTATTACGACATGCCTCTAATTTGTATTTAGATACATTATATTTATTTTTGATTTTTCCAGTTGAATTGTTCACCTGTATTCAGTGGTGGCATCCAAAATTTCCAGGAACCGGTTCTATAAAGGCAAATAATCTTTAGGAAGCTATTCTGATGACTTTCTTTTCAATCTCAGAATGGAAAGAAATCAAAAAGAATTAAGCCATTTTGATAGTTTAATAGAAAACATTTATTTATTAAGATATCTGCAGATTTAAATTCTATTCTTATCATATTTCTGTTTAGAAGTATGATGCTTTTTTGACTCTAGTGTCATCAGCTTTTTACTCCAGTGTCATCAGCTGTGTGTGCCAAATTTGAACTGAAGTTTGTAAGCAAAAACCTTTTTTTCAAATGATTTTTAAAATTAAATGCTCAAAAATTGGCAAAAAGCTATGAATCAAATTTTTGATGTCATCATATCAAACTCCAACTTTCACATTGAGTGCAATGTGGATTTTCAAAGTGAAAAGTCAACCTGCTTTATTTATGCAGATGAACTTTCTAAACTGTCAGCATGTTGTATAGTTCTGTAATTACATAATAGTCTTTGTAAGAAACTGCCTAATGAATCTTGTTAAGGAGAAAATGCTCTCAATCCCATTTTTATAGTCTGTATCATTCTTTTTACAATACTATATGTTTATATTTGATATGGTTGGGTTTTATATGGGATGCATCCAATAATGGCATCCCAAATTCCCAGGAACCAATTCTATAATGGCAGGTAATCTTTAAGAACATATTCTGCTTATTTTCTTTTCAATCTGAGAATGGAAACAAATTACTTAATAGTATAAAACCATTTTGATAATTTAATAGAAAACATTTATTTATTAAGATAGTTCCAGATTGAAATTCTGTTCTTATCAAATTTCTCTTCAGACACATGGTGCTTTTTGACTCCAGTGTCATCAGCTGTGTTACGGTTTCTTAGCCAATTTATTAGACACATTTGAACTGAATCATAACAGTCCCAAACATCCAATAGAAGACCTATCAAATTAAGGACTTTGATAAGATTTGCCACATTTTTAACTTCAAAACAGTAGGGTGCATATGTCTATTAGAGTTTCACTAGGCATGTACATGAGTGTAGTGTAACTAACATTTTACCTAGACCATTGGTTGTTAATATATAAGATTATTTTCGGGTAATCCAACAATAGGTTTACTCAGCTTTCATAATTTTAAGAATCAGTTTGCATGGGGCAGCAGGATATTCTTTCTTTTTATTTTTCATGTCCTTTCAGGACGTAGATGATCATGGTTCTCCACTTCCCTCTATCCCTTGCAGGTCTCAACACGTTCCTTCCCTCTGCTTCTT